GTAATCATTTTAATATGTTGCTAGTATCTTATTTAGGATTTTTGCATCTGTGTTCATGAGAGATATTGGTCTGGAGTTTTCTTTTTTTGTGTTATCTTTACCAGGTTTTGGTATCAGGGTAATACTGGCCTCATAACATGAGTTGGGAAGAATTGCCTCCTCTTCGATTTTTTTGGAAGAGTTTGAGGAGAATTAGTATTAAATCTTCTTTGAATGTTCAGTAGAATTCACTGGTGAAGCCATCTGGTCCTGGACTTTTAGTAGGTTTTTTGATGATTGTTTCAATTTCCACTGCTGATCAGTCTATTTTAATTTCTAGTTCTTGATTCATCCTAGGAAGGTTGTATCTTTTTAAGTATTTGTCCATTTCTTCTAGGTTATTAAATTTGGTGTTATATACTATTTTATAGTATTCTGGTATGATCCTTTGTATTTCTGTGGTGTATGTCATAATTTCTCCTCTTTCATCCCTGATTTTGTTTACTTGTATCCTTTCTCTTTTTTCTTTAGTGAGTCTAGCCAGGAGTTTGTCAATTTTATTAACCTTCTCAAAGAACCAGCTCTTTGCTGCATTTATCTTTTCTATTTTTTTGTTTCGTTTTGTTTTCAATTTCACTTAATTCTGCTCTAATTTTAATTATTTCTTGAGGAGTGATTACTTAATAGGTATGGGGTGTTTTTCTGAGGTGGTGACAAAGTTTTGAAACTAGAGAGAAGTGATGCTTGCACAACAATGTGGATACACTAAATATCACTGGATTGCATACTTTTAAATGGTTAACTGTATGTTATGTAAATTTCACCTCGATTAATAAGAAAAAAACAAAAACAAAAACACAGCAACTTAAAGTTGTACCTCAGAAACCACCCAGGGAGTCTAGTTGCAAAATGGCTAAATTTTATGAGAAAAAAAGATGTGTACAGCAATTTTATCCTGTGAGCTGAGTGGAGATGGGTTCTGTTCTAAGCCACCCACTCCTGGGAAGCCTACAGTAGAGAGTGCTAGCACAGAGCAATGTTCTCTGAGAGTCGCAGGAACCTGGGGATTTGGGGGCCTTTACAATCCTGCAGCAGGTCATGAAGCTGGTGGGATAGGCCAAGGCCTGAGTCCTTCAGGTCTCCCCTGATGACAGCAGGGTCAACAGCATGGAGTAGTGATTCCATAGGTTAAGTGTACTATGCAAATGTGAGGTGAGGAGGCTGTGATGTCTGGACATAGAATTTTTGGTTGACGGTCTTTTTTTCCCCAGCACTTTTAATAGGTCATCTTATTGTCTTCTGGCCTCTATGGTTGCTGGTGAGATGTCACCTGTTAAGTTTATTAAGGCTCTCTTTTATGTGATGACTTGTTTTTCTCTTTCTGTTTCAGGATTCTCTCTTTGTCTTTGTATCTCAAAATTTTGATTAGAATTTACCTACGCGTGCCTCTATTTGAGTATAAGCTTCTTGGAAGTATAGATTAATTTTTGTCATCAAATTTGTTGTTGTCAGCCATTATTTCTTTGAATAATCTTTCTGCCTTCCTTTCTTTGCTTCCTCTAGTACTCTCATTATGCATAAGGTAATTTTCTTGATAGTGACTTACAGGTCTCTAAGTCTCTCTTTGTTTAAATTCGTTTTGCTTTCTGGTCATCAAGTTGAATAATCTCATTTGACTTAATGTTCATGGATTTTTCCATATGCCTGCTCCAATCCGTTGTTGAGCCTCTCTAATAATTTTTTTTATTTCAGTTGTACTTTTAACTCTAGAATTTCTGTTCTGTTCTTTATTATAACTTCTATCTTTTTATTTGTATTCTGTACTTGATATTGATCTCATATTTTCTTTAATTCTTTACATGTGCTTTCCTTTAGTTCTTTGAACATGTTTAAAATAGTTGATTTAAAGTTTTTGTCTAGTTAATCCAATTTCTGGGCTTCTTCAGGCACAGTTTCTCTTTTTTCCCCCTTTAAAGTGGGTCATAATTTCTTTCCTTGTACATCTTGTGATTCTTTGGCCGAAAACAGGACATGTTAAATAATATAATATGGGAACTCTGGAAATCAGATTCCATACTCCTCCCCCCACCCCGATTTATTGTTACTGCTGTTTAGTGACCTTTCTGAACTAATTCCATAGTCTGTTTTCTTTGTTGTGTGTAGCCCCTGAAGTTCTGCTCAGCTTAGTGGTCAGCTAATGATTGGAGATTTCTTTAAGTATCTAGAACCAGTAAGCCTTCCATTTTTGCCAAGAGACTTTATGTACATGTTGTGCCTCACCTTCAACACTCAGTCAGGCAGTTCACATTTCCACCAAAGCTTTTAATTCCTTGCACAGAGCCTCAAGATTAGTGAGGGATGAGAGCTTTGAGTCTTCTCAGATCTTTACTGAGCATGTGTGCAATCCTACACATGTGCAATGGCCTTCTAGATTCCTAGGAATATGTTTGCATTTTCAAAGCATCCATGGACATTTTATTCCCCAGTTTTTCCTTTTAAGCTTTTTGGTTAGCCTATTGTTTGCCCAAATTGTTATGCACCACCTCATGTAGCCACCAACTTTACAAACTGCCTAAATGTTTCATGACAAACAGCCCCAGGGCTTTTTGCAGAGGTGAGCTCCTAGTCAGGCCAAATAAAGGCAGCCTCGCAGTAGGGTCTTCCAGTTAAGTCAAATAATGACAGTTCTCTGAGAATGAGGCTTTGAAGGAACTCCAGCTCTGTTCTGCTCTTTCTAGTAACTAGCGGGCTGTTATTTTCAAGGTTCCAGTGGAACTGGAGAAGGGGGGTGCAAGTGGAGATGAGAATAGAGCAAGTTAAGAACATCAGAAATCTTTCTGTTCTTGACAAGATTTTGTCTGTTTGTTTGTTTGTTTGTTTTTAATTTGTTTTACATAAATGCTCCGTTGATTGCTGTAAGACTTTGGTTAATTTCCAGAGTTCTGAAAAAAGTTCATTCTGACTATATTTTTACCAGTTTTCTCATTACTTTGAAGAGAATGTTTGGAGGTCCTTGCTGCACCATTTTCTCTGATATCACTCTCTTTTGCTTTTTATAACACATTTAGAGTTTGTATGAGGTAGGTGCCATGCCTCTCACTGCACAACATACACGTTAAAAAGAAAACGAGAGGTGGAAGTACTCATTCCAGAACAGCACATTGCGAGGTGAATTTAAGAAAACATGGGCAGTACTTCTCCAACTCTGTGATGAAGGACTAGTTTTTTGGGATTTTTTTTTTGCTTGTTTCTTACTTTAATTCATTGTGTTATGTGGTCCTACTTCATGTGACTATTCATGTACAACTTGCAGTGCAAGTTAAACAATGTGAGCTGGCCTATACCCTGCAACAAGAATTGTCCACTGATCACATTCCTGGAGGGCCAGGCAATGTTTAAGAGTTTCTAAATGCTCTCAGTTTCTTTACTTATCTTGTTGCCAGTGCTAACAAACCAGCAAACTTTGAGTAGCACTTAACTAGGAAACAATCTTGAATAAGCTAGTAGGTGCCCTCCATGACCACATTTTAAAATATATCTGTATTGATTTTCTCTTAAATTCAAGCGTCATGGAAATGTGTACTGTAGAAAATGAAGATTCCTCATATTCTCACAGACACAGAAATGAGCACTGTTAATGTTTGCTATATACATACTACCAGTTTTTTTTCTATTTTTATGCAATTATGTTTTTGCTTTGCTTTGTAAAATTGAACTTATTGTACATATATATTTTACATCTTATTGACTTGTTTGACATGTACATTTCCTCATTCTTCTTAACACCCATAGAGTATTCCAGAGTTTGTTCTTATTGGTGGCCATCTAGACATAGGCCCATTTTTCAAGCATAGGCATTATAATATGTTAGAAATAATAGGTATCATCTCTATATTGTATCTCAAACCAAATAAGCAGAGCAAAACTTGCCATCTAAGCAATTTCTGATTAGCATTTTAAGATGTTTCCAAACTCTTGCTGTTACAGACATGCCCTGATGAATCTATCCGCCCTTTGAGCATCTGCATGTACCTGTGCACACCTGAAGATTAAAGTCTGGTAAGAGGAACTGCTGTCCAAAGAAGGCGTTCCAGTTTACACTACCACCAACAGTGCTCTCATCCTTTTAGAACTGAGTTTGGATTGGAGGAATTCAAAACTTATCAGAAGCCAAACTAAAATATGAGGTCCAAATATGGCTAGACAGTGGCAGATACCGCAATCCAGGACATTGGATTCCTGGGCTGTTCAGAAACTTATGAAGCCAATTCTAAAAGAAAACCAGAAATATGGTGCGCAACTAACTTGTTCTTTAAAACATCTTTTCTTCTAATTTCTGCTAAGAACAAATATGCTATATCTTTAGAAATCATTTTCTTTTTTAAAATCCAAAATGTTAAGCTAAATATTACTTAAACGTATGTTTAACCTTTATTGTACTGACTTATTCATGGCAGGAAGGAGAGAAGGCCAAACATTCTTGCCCACTACTACCAGTTAGGCCTAACACAAGTATCAGAGGGGAGGTCTGACAGTGGCTTCAACAGCCAATGAGCAGTGGACTCAGTGCCTCCTTGACCCGATTTTGTGACCATCCAGCAGAAACGTTTCCCAGAAACCTCTTTCAGAATATGGAGCATCTCAAGCTGTCTGAGCCTGTCCAGCCAACTTGTCAATCAGGTTCATCTGTTATCTTCCCTGAATCCTGTAAGAGCATGTCAAGGAAAATCCAAAGAACTTGTAAGCTGAATTATGGTCCTCCCTTGGGGTGTCCTTGGAGTATTGAGGTATCTGAAAGCTATAGATAGTTTCTGGGAAAATAAGGTTTTAAGAAATGTAGCATAGATACTAATAATTCTTCAAGAGGTCTTTGCTGACAAGAGAAATCTTAATGTGAGAGCAGCACATCTGATTAATCAGGGGGACCTACCTGACCCCCAGCAATGACAATGTATGTCAGCAAGTGACAAGACATAGACAGTGTTTCCATTCAAATAAGAATAAATCCAGGACTCAGTGTACACATTTCACATCTTTTTATTGAGATTCAGGAAGAGTTTGCCAGTGGCAGGCGTGCTCACTGTCCCAATTTACCCAGGCCTTCCGCTGCATGGGTAACAGCATTTGTGACTGTATTGGTCACTGTCTCAGTGACTTCCTTCACCACTTGGTCCCCTGTTTGCTGGGCCTTCTTGAAGGCTTCAGCAATAGCTGTCAAGGAGAAAGAGGAATAATATTCGGGTGAGCAAAGTAAATATTTCAAGCCGTTCGCTGAGCTAGTGTCACCTGGAGAGGCCTGTGGGATGTGGCAGTCATACTGGATCATGCCCTGGAGGAGCCCCAATGAGACAGAGTGTAGCAGAGCTCCTGGAGCAATGTGTTCAAATTTTGTTTTATTTTCCTCAGTGACCTGCATTTCTTAGATTATGAGGGAGACTGAGTATTTGCTCATGGGCGTATTACCTACTCATTTTTCATTTTTCTGTGAATTGCCTGTTTGGTCATTTGGTCATTTGGTCATTTTTGTATTAGGTTATTATTACTGTCCTCAGTTTGTGATTTTTCTTTTGGCTTAGGTTGTAATTTGTTTGTTTGTTTTACTATGTAAAATTTGAAGGTCAATATTGTCAAATCTACCTAATATTTCCTTTATGGCTGTTGGGTTTTCTGTCAAAGTTAAAAGATCCTTCCATCTCTGAAATTTTGCAAAAACTCCTCTGTTTTCTTCTAACAATTTAATAATTCTATGTATTTATATTTAAGTCCTTGTTCTATCAGGAGTCTATTTTGTTGTAGGAATGAGGTGTATGTGTGCTGAATTATGGTCCTTCCTCACACACATACACATACAAACATTTATGTAAATATGTATTTATATAAATATATTTTCTATCTTAAACATTTTGTCCCAGCATGCTGCCGCATAGTCTTTTGTAATATCGTCCTTTTTTTTGTTTTTTTGTTTTTTTGTTTTGTTTTATTTTTTATTTGTGACATCGTCTTCTTAAAAGTCCACAGAGAAGACTATCTAGTTGGATCCTGCCTTAGCAAAGTTTGGTCTGTGGCCTCAGCGTAGATAATTGCCTACCAACTGAAAGGGTATACATCTGAGTCAGGGTTTGACCTGGTTAATCAAAGTACAGGTTTGCCTCCTTCATTCCTCCCCGCTTGCCTCCTTCATTCCTTCCCCAGCCCTAGCATACCTTTCTCTCCAGCCTCCTTGGCATGTTCCACCACCTCCTTCACCACTCCTTCCACAGCATGAACTGAAAAGATGAGACAAGCCCAGGGTGAGAGCACAATGTAAACAAGCTTCTCCTTACGGCAGAGCCCAGACAGCTCTGGATATCCTGAATAGGGCTCTGGGATGCTGTCCCAGCCAGGACAAGCTGGCTCACAAGAAGGAACCCCGCTGGCTTCCTTCAGAGACTCAAGTGAGGCCAGACTGCCGGGGGAAAAAAGCTGAGTAAGCCACACAAGAGCTCAGGGCCCTCCATGCCCCACAGCCTGTCGTGGCCTAGATGCTGATGAGCAGGCCTTTCTGTCAGCTGGGAACCTGGCACCAAGGCTGAACCTGTTTCCCAGATCACCGAGGTGTGCTGCTATCCTGCCTCAAGCCAGATGACGGCTGCATCTAGGTGATGAAGCTTCCTCCAGCAAAACCAGTTCCCCAAAGCCATCCTCCAATAGCAGGGGACTCTGCCCACCTAGGAGTTGTTTAAAGTTTGGTGATAGTGTGCTAGAACCGGCAGTGTCAGAAGAACTGGTTCTGATTCTAACTCCTTTCTTTACTGCTTGGTTCCTTCATCTGTGGAATGGGAATAATACAGAACTCAGAGAGCTAGTGAAAGAGGAAAGAGGGCAGTCAACACCAGTTACAGTTAACCAATGAAATACAGACATGTTTGCAGCCATTTCGAAAGAGGACAGCAAATTTACATGTCAGACAGATGGAACCTGGATTAGCCTCCCTGAACACAGTTGCTGATGTCTGCATACAGAAAAGGGCTTCTGGGGACTTTGAAGATCTTGCAAACATTCTTTTTATAAACCCCTGGGGCTGACTTTGAACAGAATCAAATTTGATGGTTTCTTAATAAATAAATCTTTGAAGTTTTAAAGTTATGGTGAAAATAAAATTCCACCTTCCTTTTTCTGTATCGGATATTTGCAATAGGCTGTTTGGATATGGAAGGGATCCCAGGTTCCAGAGGGAAGGATTCAAGCCACCAGCACCCAGCACCCGGCACCCACGCTCCCCACTGGCCTCCTGGGGCCTCCTCTAAGCTGGTCTCCCTCTTGCCTCTAGCCACACAAAGTGAGGGTTGTTTGGGGCAGCTGACCCCTCCTGGCTGCACCCTGAGCTGCCCGCCTCAGTTTCCTCACACCACCCCTTCTATTCTATCTTTGTGGGGCTGATCATGGGGCTAAGGCCTGCCTCAAACCTGCTGGGATCAGCTTCGCACAGGCTGAGTCAAGCCTCTAGCCTGAGAGAATGGCCCGGGTTGAAAAGAGCCTTAGGTTCTTACCAGCTTCCTCAGTGGCCTTCTCAGTGCGGTGGGCCAGGCCTTCAGCGGCAAGTTTCCCCAGGCCTCCCAGCATTGTGTAGTGACAGGCGGCAATCAAGCAGGATGCTAGGGCCTGGAACAGTGTGCTTTTATAGATGCCTCTGATGCCTGGCTGGGCTCTGGGGTACCACCCCTTGCCACAGTCAAGTAGGAAGTCAGGCAGTGAGTCAGCACAGGTGATGGCAGAAGGAAAAGGCTGGGTGGGACCACCCTAGGGCTCTGGCACTGCCCCTCTAGCAGCACGAGACCCACTCACCCTATATCCTGAGACCCTGTGAGGGGCAGGGACAGGGAGGCGGACTGAGGCTGGACATGGAGGTCAGTTCTGGGACATGCTGCTCCCCCAAGGCCGGAGGCCTGAATGCCCTGTGGGATGAGAGGGACTTGGAGACAGCAGCCCTACCAGCCCCCTAGGCTTTGAGTTCTCCACAGCCTGGGCACGGGTATGTACCCAGACAAGGCCTAGGACTTCTAGCCTACTGTCCAGGGTCCCCATGGTGGCATAGCTGGTGTTTAGGGGTTCTGTGGGTCATGTGGACCTGGATAACCCCTCAGGCCAGGAACACAACTCCCCATTCCCAAGAACCTCAGCTCTGCAGGATGGCTTTGCAGCCTCCATTGGACAGGTATTGGAGGGTTGGGGGGATTCAAGGCGGTGCTTTGCCCAAGGTGGAGGAGACACAGCCTAGTAATCCCTGGCTTGCAGGCAGCTGGTTCTTACTCACAGGAGAACATGAGTGACCCAGCACTGAGAAAGCCAGCATATGAAGAAACTCGACCCTCCCTGCACATTGGGGCCTGGCCCCTCGGAGAGACCCTGTAAGGTCAGCAGTGCCCCTCAAGAGGGTCCTAGAGGAGTAGATGGAGGACTCCACCACCATCTGGGGAGGTGCTTATGGCCTTAGCAAGAAATCCCAGAAAGCTGCTCTACCAGCCTGACACATCACGTGTTTAGAGGGCCACACTGCCTCCCTAGTTACTCAGAATGGAGAGAGATGCCTCAAGCACCATGCCACATGCTCCTTCCCTTAGTCACTAGCCCAGCCTGAGCCTCAGTTTCCTCATCTGTAATTGAGAACAGCCATGCCTTCCTGGCCATGCCACTGATAGTCTGTGGGATCATGCATGCAAACTTAGTAAATTTCTGCTCCCTCTCTCTTGTTACTTATGTGCCAGGGAGGGGCCACTTGGCAGTGAGTCCTGACCAACAAGTGGGTGGACCAAAGAGTGGTAGGAGTATGAGGCTGCCTCGGAGCCAGAGGGCTGGGGAATGAGAACCCACTAGGCAGGTGTCATGGAGGGAAGACCCACTGAGTCCCTGTTCCTGCAGTCCAGGCCTGGATCAGGAGTCTGAGACCCCCTTCCCCGTGCAGTCTCCCACAACCCTCAGAGCTTCCCAGGAGGGTATGTTGGGACCTAATTAGTGTTGACCCAACCATAGGCCTTCATAGCTTGGGTCCTACAGGGCTGATGCCCTCCTACATTCGTGAGTGGTGTTGGGAGTCTCCCCAGGCTGTGGCCGGCACCCCTAGGGTAGGCAGTGGGTATTGTGGACAACAGTAACTCTGAGTCACAAGGCCACAGCACCACATGTGCTATCTCCATTTGGCAGGAGTGGTTGAGTCTTAAACAATTTAGAGAAGTCTTCTTAAGAAAAAGCATACAATAATACTACTCTTCCAAGTTTTATGTATATACACATGTATGACCCTGTGGACTCAGAGAGGCTGTTAAAGTGAGGGCCCTGGAGCTTAAGCAGATCTGGATGATTCTGTTCTCCCCTGTGACAGACAAATACCAGAATGTTCTGCTCAGGGCATCAGGGCCACGTTGCCGAGGATGGGACTACTTCTGGGACACAGCTGGTGGGAACTGGGCTGAGCGACCCATAGAGACGTTCCCTGGACCCATCAAAGCCCCTTCTCTGTTTCCTCTGAGGTTTTGTGTGTCTCCCACCCACCCCTACAGGGTCTTCTCTTTGCCTGCTCCCTTGACAGGATGACAGTGTCATCCACCAGTTCTGGGATGGCTTCCAGACCCCACCTTGGGATACTCTTCACAGTCCCTTCCTCCTCAGGAGCTCACCAGCCCCTTGACAGGCCCTTGTCAAGACTAGGCCATTCAGCAGAACTCTGGACCCAGTGTCAGTCCAGAGCCAGGCCCACTATAGCCACTGGCTATGCTTTCCCCTCACTGTCAGGCTACTGCTGCCCTTGCCATATCATTCCCCTGTCCACGAGACACTACTTCTCTTTAGTGCACTGCCCTGCTGTGAGCACCTTGACTTCAGTGACAACACACGATGGTCCCAGATTTCCTGGCAAAGTTGGGCTCAAACATTGATCCCAAATGTACAACAGAGAGAAAGCAAGAAGCCTCAAGAGACCAAGCTGCCCAGGACCAGACTCGGGACCCAGACCTTGGTGTTCTGGCCCAGGTCCAGGCCCACTTGGCCTTCCAGCTGTGACCAGAAACCTGTCCTCTCAGCCCAGCCTTTGGCTCCCTGAGGGTGAGCTCCTTTCCAGCCAAAGAACCTGGTGTAGCTCAAGGCCCTCCTAACCAGGGCTGGATTCCAGCCTGAGGGATTAGGCTTGGATGACTCCTGCAAGGAACACTACTTGTGTGGATGAGGTTGAGGATGACTCAGGTGGGAACCGCTCCATCTTGGAAGAGGCCTGGCCCATGCTGAGCCCCAAGGGAGCAGCCTTTGAACTCAGGCACCCATGTCAGCCCGTCCTGAGTCAGAAGGTCAAGTCCAGCCCTTGACAGGAACCAAGTAATTCTCCAAGTGGAATTTGCTCAACAACCCAGTTTGGCAAAGGGCTGCCTCAAGTCAAGCTGCCTGCATCAAGTTAAGGAGAGCCAATTTTTCAAAAAGAAATTTGCCAACTTAGTAATTAACAATTCTTTTTAAAAAATCATTTATTTTAAGTACTTAAATACTTAGAGCTGTCTTACGTCTGAAGCATGACAATTTCTTGTGTGATTTGAACTGGAGATGTCACGAATGTCCTGAGTTTCATGATCGTCCATCCTGCCTATACTTTCTCCACTTCTGTTTCATGGATTTGAGTTCATAGTATATACTAAACTCTTGTCTCCTACACACACCAACCCCTTCCAGCCACAGGAGAGCCAAACCCAGACTCCTGGAGACTTGGTGTGTCGGTCACCAAAGGAGGACTTCTCCAGCATGTCAACAACCACACATCCATGGGTGTCAGTCAGGGTCCTGGTGGAAATCAGAGGGCACATCAAAGGGGGATCTGAGGAGAGAGACTGTTCATAAAGGTGTGGACAGGCTTAAGGGAAACCATGAGGTATGGTAAGGTGCTCAGAGACCAGCAGTAGTGGGAGTTCTTACCTCCCTGGGCCTGGAGGAGCAGGGAAGGGACTGCACCAATGCTGAGGAGAGCTGCAACTATAGGAGAAGTTCATTGGACAGGAGCTGCAGCCATTAGCAGAGGAACATGGCCACAGCTATGCCATGCCTAGCAAGGAGGGTGCAGGGGGATATATATTGCTCTTCTTCCTCTCCAATCTCCTACTGATATCCCCAATGGCTGAACCCAAGGGGCTGAGGCTGAGGGAGCCTGGGTAATATAGTTCAAGAGGGCAGATTCCTAGGGCTAGGGCAGGGAGGAGCAGGTGGGTGTGGATTCCAGGTAAACAGACAATACCAGCTCATCCTGCCAGACTTCCAGGTTTGGGAGTAACATGGCAGCTTAATTCTAAATGGTCCCATTTCATTTTCTTAAAACTGTGTGGAACAACAAGGAGCACAAGAAGAAGAAGGGGGGAGAGGGAAGAAGGGATGGGAGAAGAAGAATATCCATCACCAACACACACATCAAACTTCTGAGAAACTAGGAGACTGAGAAACCATTGGGGCGGGCAAGTCAGTCTCAGATGTTGTCCTTAACACTCACTAGCAGGAAGAGAGGACCCTCTGAGTGAAAACTCCGTGGGACAGAACTAAGACCTGGGGAGATGAAGAAAGAAGAGGAAGGTAACCAAAGAGGTCTAGAAGTGTCAGATCTGAGAGTATCACCTTCCAAGAGAGAAGGTAGAGTTTAGGAAGGCAAGGACTGACTGAACTCCTGGAGGCTGCAGCTGGGGAAAGAGGGCTGCTCGTAGAATCTTCCTGAAGCCAGCTGGTTTCTGAGAGGCAATGGGATAACAGCCACACAGGTGAGTTCGATACTTTTGTAAAAGAAGTACAAGCTCCTCAGCAAGGACCCCTCTTCTTGGGAATTTGCTATTGATATCTGGGAAATTGCACTTCAGATTTGAACTTCATATTCCTGACAGCCTCTACTACATCATGAATACAAGAGTTGTATGAATGATAGGGTAGGTTTCTCTCTTTCCTCTCAATGTTAATCGAGTTGCAAAAAATCATGTAATTTCCATATCTCCCTCACCTAGCTTCCCCAAATGTTCACATCTTACGGAACCACCGTACAATGATCAGAACCAGTGAATTAACATTAGCATATTTAGCTAAATTAAATGCAAAATTATTTAATTAAATAATACATTTAAATAAATTTAAGTTATTTACATTATTTAACTAAGTTAAATATTAACATATTAGCTAAAGACCTTATTGGAATTTCACCAGTTTTTCCACTAATGTTCTTTTCCTGTCCCATAATTCTATCCAGGATCACAGATTGCATTTAGTTATTTCTCCTTAGTCTCTTGCAGTTTTGTAGGACTTCAATAACAGTTCTTCCGCCTTTCTTTGTCTTTCCTAACCTTGACACCTTTAAGCAGGACTGATCAGTTATTTTGTCAAATGTTTCTTATTTGGGTTTGTCTGATGTTTTATGATTAGACTAAGGTTATGCATTTAGGGCAAGAATACCACAAAAATGATGTATCCTTTCTAAAGCATCATATCACAGGGTTCCTGGTGTTGAAATGTCTTATTACTAATGATGTTGAGCTTGATCATTTGGTTAAGTTGGTCTCTGCTGGCTTTCTCCATAGTAAAGCTACTATCTTTTCTTTGTAGTTAATAAACATCTA